GAATAAACACAAATGCACCTGACCAAGTGTCTGCAATAGGGATTGACTAGTCTTTCTAGCAGACGGGTATCCTCAATACAAGTGACCAGCTATACCATATATATATATATATATATATATATATATATATATATATATATATATATATATATATATATTATTTAAAGCAGCAATCCTTCTTTCATGCATATTTCATTGAATATGACAGACAAGGTGTTTTTATTTAGTTTTTTATACAATTTCTCATACGATCTAATAATTTTTTTCTTTTCAGATGATAAATTATATAAAAAAATGTCCGAATGTTCTTTTTTATCTGAGCTCTTTTTTTTATACATTTAGACATTTTCAAGGATTAAATATTTTAACTGTTAAATAAGAAATAGTTTGTTGTATGTATATTTTATAAAAAATGTTTTTTATATTTATCATTTTAACAAAACAAAGTTGTTTTGGATTTGCATTTATATAAACAGAATATATATATATATATATTTGATATATATATATAAAAAACAAAGTTTAATATTTTTTTATTCAATGCATTTTCTTCTTTTAAACTTTTATTTTTTTGTATTTTATTTTTAATATAATTTTTTTTTCTTTCTCGATAACCACTACAACATATTTTATATATATATAATATATATATATATCTGTAATAGATAATTATTTTTATTCATATAGAAACCGCCTATATAATTTTATTAAAATTGAGGGGTTTTTTGGCCCTTTGACCTTCAGTATCCTATGAACTTAAAAGTTATAAGAATTTAGAAATAATAAAATTATTTTATCTTTATTCAACACCTTAATTTGGCATAATCTTTCTTTGTATATGCAACCAATCTCCGTGGTTTGTTTTCATTCATTTTGCACACAATTTTTATTTTCTTTTAAAATCACCATTATTTATGACCCCTTTGCATCAAGTAACTCTTAAAAGACATTAAGGAACCCGAACTATGTAATATTTTGAATACGTCAAAGTACACGTGCTAGAAAAAGTAAACAACAGACCATATCAATTGCAATTGAACAATTGAATTGTGATGAAAAGTGAAATCAATATTAAACCTTTATTAAAGAACTAGCAGCGTTGCCCGTGCTTGATTCAAAAATCGTACGACTCATACAGCAATCGCTATCACTTGACTTAAAAAATATTTTTGCCCTTCCTTGCCTTTAAAGGAGTGCCCTTTGCCGTGCTGATGTTTCTACATGCCTTACTTATTGCCTATCTCACATTGCGAATTTTTCTAAGCTCTATACTAAACATTATATCTGTTACGAAAAAAGAACTAAACAAAATGAACACAAAACGATCAGCTTTAAAAAAGGACTTGTAACTGGAAAAACCGAATGAAAAAAGAATGTTAACAACAAATACTTTTTCACACCCAACCCAGTTCTGCGGAATCAGAATCAACGTTGACTTTAAGCAAGTGAATGAGCCAATTAGAGTAAAGTGCCATGCAGATTTAAATTTTTCCCACTTTTGACGAATGCAGCTATCGATTTTTTTGCATGCTAGCATGCTAGTTAACATTCGTGTCAGTCAGCTGTTGGCTCTCGCGCTGGCCAATAGAATCTACTGCCTATTCGTGGCAGCCAGCTATAGGCTCTCTCTCTGGCCAGTAGAAAATGGCTGCAAACTACATGAAAAAATCAATTATTTCCACTATCGATGGGAGTTGGGAAATGCAAAGTCAGTCTTGGCCTTTCCAATAACTTGGAACATGTGCATGTAAATTTTGGTGTAAATCCGTCGAAAATTGCAGCCATGCATTGGTTACACACACGCATCCTGCCTTTTATAGATAGAGATTATTTTTAAAACCTTTCACTCTGTTTGATATTTAAATTTAACTCTAAATGAATTACTTATTTAATTTTTAATTGTGTGTAACTGCAGTAGTTAATACCTGTTACTTCAGGTTGTTTATGATTCACCAAGGTTGAAAAATGGAAGGATGGACACACATACACTTTATATATATATATATATATATATATATATATAACATATGTCCATACCATGCCATAATAATCTAATCACAATTTAAACAATATTCATTTAAAAAAAAAATTCTTGATTACTTGCTTACTTTCTACCAGAATTTGAATTGTCCGCCACATGTTTTGATTGACCTTTCAACTACCTGATAAATATTCATTAAGGTTCTCAAATTTAAAACCAATGATAAACCAATGTCATCCTCGGTTTTGTATATAAGCATGTACAACAAAATAAATCCTACATTGCCTTGATAAAGAACCTCAGAGGATGAAACCTGTCGCCTAAGAATTTTTTCCTCGCCTTTTTATTCCTTTACAGATACACTCTATCTAAATATTATATATATATATATATATATGAATAATAATGATTACAGAATCTTTAAAAATCCATCAGGTCAGGTTATAAATTTATTTTGTGGACCTCATGTCCACAAAGAGATGGACATGAGGGCCATGAAATAAATTATATATATATATATATACACACACACAAGTTTTGTTAAAAACAACTGACGAGGTACTGTGTTTAAGTTTTTTTATTTAATTTTTCTTGTGTTTTTTTTTTTTTTTTCAGGGCATAAATTACGTAGAAATTAGCTGATTGTTCTGTATGCCTGACTACTTTTGGTTATACTTTTAGCCATTGTCAAGGATGATTCTATTTTTACTTTTAGCTGAATATATGGATTTTTTTTATATACATATCTTGAGTTATAGGAATGTTTTATCTTCAAAACATGGTCAGCACATCCCTATAACTAGATACATTAATAAAACATACATACATTCAGTTTAAAGTAAAAATATAATCATCCTTGATAATAGCTGAAAGTGCTCAGACATAGGGATTATTCAGACAATTTCTACATAATTTATGTCCAGAAAAGAAAAAATATAATGACACAAGAAAAATTAAACAAAAACTTAACTGCAGTACCTTGCCAGTCATTTTTTATGAAACTTGAATAAAAGAGGGATTGCTGCCCAAATACACAAAATATATATATATATATATATATATATATAAAATACATACAATAGGAATTAAGATTATGGCCATAACCTTGAAGTAATCTTAATTCCTTTTGTATGTAATTTATCAGTCAGTTATGTGTCATGTGTGATGCATGTTTGGCCAATCATGTATCTTTTGATACATTTCTGACAAGGCAGATTTTTTCCCGCAGTAGGTAGACCAGTTGCTATCCAAGGCTATAGAACCTGGTCTGTTCTGCTATTTACACATAGCTGGTGGGAGAAGAGGAGGATTCATACCTTTCCCAAGTGATGGGTAAATAGCAGGATAGACCAGGTTCTAAAGCCTTGGATGTCTGAATTACTGATGTAATTTATATGCTCTGTTTGAATGAAATACTGAACTCTCTGTGTGAATCAGTTTTGATATTTTTATCAATAGGATTCACTCGGATTATTTACCAACAGATTATTACCTATATATATATCTATAACTATTTACAGTGTGAACATAGGAATCAACACTACATGGTATCTGTAAGTCTCATGACTTGAAAATCTCCCTAATAGCAGATGTGATCTGTCTAAAAAATTGTGATGAGCTTCAACCATGTCCTCCAGATGACTTCAGAATCTCCAGGAACTCTTCCAGATGGTCACCTTTTTTAAGTTGTTGAATGTTGCCATAATATGTGCCTTCAGTTCATCTTTGGTCTTACAAGGAGTTTTGTTGACCTCTCATTCAACTGCACCCCACACATAATCAAGAGTGTTGCAAGTCTGGGGAGTTAGGTGGCCAGATGTAAGAGGTTATATGGTTGCATAAATTGTCTGACAGCCATGACTAGGTTCTCTTGCTTGTGTAGCATGGTGCAGAGTCCTGTTGCCAGACATATAGTCTTCCATCAGTCACCCTCTTCCGAATCCTCTGCACTGTCCGCAGATTGACACCCAACCATTCATATTAGAGCTTCTGGAGTGAATGTCATGAGGTATAGCATGACATTTCCAAATTTCTGGCAGAGTGAATTGTGTCGTGGTGGTCTTTTTCTCACAGACAGTGCCCAACTGATAATACTATACTGTGAAGTTGATAAAATCAAAAATATAAAATGGCGACAATTTACCCATCGCACCCTATGTGTTATATATATATATATATATATATATATATATATATATATATATATATATATATATATATATATATATATAAAAAAAATAAAATCCCCTTATTATGGGCACAATATCTAAAGCACAATTGCTGTATCTAGGAAAAAATACATACAAACAAATTTTAACATATTTCAGCTTTTTCTTTGTATATACACAGACATATATGGCTATATATACACAGATACAAACACACACACACACACACATTATATTATATATATATATACACACACACAAATACATATATATATGCATCTATGCATGTTTTCAAGGCAGAAAATAACTTTACTTGCTTTCTTTTTTATTTTTTTTAAATAGTTGTTATAAAATCCATTTCATAAGCAAGAACATATTTTTCTTCATCTTTTCTTAAAAACAATTTTTTTTCTAGCATTTATTTTCATTGCTGGTGTTATCACAATGATGTCAGTTGTGGTGGTCGTTGTGGTGATAAGAGAAGTTGGATACACATCTCATTCTCAAAATTAGAAAGTCATCTTGTCCATACCATAACAGTTGTACCACCATCTATTTAGAATCTACATGGCTCACATGTTCATAGAATGTTTTTAATATTTATATATATATATATATATATATATATATATATATATATATATATATATATATATGTTTTAGTTTTACAATAATATTGTAACTCTAAATATGTCATTAGGTGTATTTTTTTTCAAGTGTTTTTTAATTTTTTTTGTTTGTGAAAGGGAGGAAACTCCTCACTGCAGATCCTATCCAGCAATTGGAGGGAAAAATAAATAAAATAATAATAACAATAATATAATAATAAAAATAACAACAAAAAAGATAATCTAATGTTTGACACGTGAGAAGAAAGATCCACTTCGTTTAATTTTGTGTTCTTTCAGCTGTTCTTCCACTTGTTCCTTGATTTTCTCCTGGTGCAGTCGTTTACGCATCTGGATGTCAATTAATTCCTCCATGTCTGTCTGCAATGAGATAAAAATGAAAAAAAAATATATATTAGCAATATCTTCATATTCATAGACAATATTTTTTACAGGCTTTTGTAATTTCTAAATAGTTGTGGTAGGTTGATGGGGAGTAGGGTGAAAATTTAGTCTTGTGATAAATATTCAACTCATCCACAAAGAAAATGGAAAGAAAAAGAAGAAAGTAGATATAAAAGTATAAATTCAAAATTTTTATATCGCAAAAATTGGAGATGTTATACAAAAAAAAAAAACCTCTTATTTTTTTATCCCAGTTTTCTTTTTATGCAGCTTTTCTTGTACGACAGGAAATAGGCTAGATACAAGATTATTTCTTAAGGACTCCTCTTACTACTTTAACTTGAGCTGTTACTTTGACTGCTATTCAGACTTACTAATTGATATATTGTCTTTTATTTATATATAGAATTCAACACAGTAATACACAGCAGAAAAATGCTCAGCTTTTTTGAAAGTGTGTTACTTGAAGAGAATAAAATTTTCAATAACTCTACATACTCTAAAGGTGAAACTTTGCCAATTAATAATGTGATATATATTTTAAATGATGTGTAATTTTTATCTTTCTCTATAAATTGTAAGTTAATTAAATTTTAATTTAAGTGGGTGGTGCTCATTAAGGCTATCATAACTTATTAATTTTCTTCTATACGTTGTGCAACTTCAGGATGTTGACAATCATGGCTCTCCACAGTTTCCTAGTTTGGTTATCTCCTCTTAATTCCACACAGTTCTCCACTGCCTTAACCAGGTATTGAACTCGCACATTTTGGGTCCTGTCACTGGATCTAACCAACACCTTTATCCACAGTGCTATTTGTCCTATCGTATCAATATCTTATTGTATCTGCTACATATGGTCCAGTGCTCCTGCTATTTATCTCAATATCCTTGATAAAATCCATAGAAGAATCAGCAATATTATTGGTCCTCATCTTGTATCTCAGCTTCATTCAGATTCCCACCCCTGTAAGGTTGCCTCCCTGTGCCTTTTTTATAAATACTTTCATGGTAATTGTTTGGATGAGCTCTTCACTATGGTGCCTAGACATTTTGAATTTAAGTGCAGTACTAGGCTGGTGTTGAGATCTCATCAATTGACAGTTGAGCTGGCTAGATGTAACCATAAGTTCTATGCTAGCAGTTTCTTTTCTTACACTTCTCACTTGTGAAACTCCCTTCTGTCTCAATGCTTTCCAGCCAACTTTAATCTTCAAAAATTTGAATGTGTCTTAGTGGCTTTATTGCCTTGCATGGAATAAGCTTGATTAGAAAGAAAATACATGCGCATATACACTCACAAACACACACAGAAAAAAAGAGAAAAAAATCAACCTGATACTAATAACTAGTATATAAATTAATTTTTAACTTAGTAAAAATAAATGAAAATGAGAGAAAATCCACAGTCATTTGCTGAAACCTCGTGATGAGTGGACTGAATGATTACAAAAATGTTTGTCTATAAAACTCTAGAGTCAAGGTGCTGAATATAACATTTTAGGCTTGTTTATCATCCGGTTCACACTCCTTCCCAGTTTTTTGAACAGGAGTAGAAGTTTAACAATTGCTTCCTGTTTAGAATTGGATTTCCTGTTTCTTTTAAAATCTTATCATTCTCTTTCACTCCCAGTAGCCTCTTGTATCTTAGTGGCATTATCACCTTGCTTGGGGTGAAAAGATTTAAAAAATAAAATAAAACATATAAGTAGTTTAGCCTAGTTTTGGTAGAAAACTATAAGTATGGGTTCCTCAGTAAGGATTGAACTCACAATTCAAAGATTGTTCTGAATTTGCTGTCAAATGGCATGAGGAGTGTTTAGTTTTAACTAGCTTGATTAAAAAAGGTCAGTTTTAATTGTATAGCAACAACAAGCATTCTTTCAAAAATTGTCAAACTTGGCATATTTTGGTTTGTTTTATGGCTTATCAACCTCAATGGGTTATTTGATGGCGACAAGATTTTTTTTGTTGGTAATATTTTTTTTTCAAAAAGTATTTCTGGCAATATTTTTTCCAAAAATGTATTACTGGTAATAATTTTTTCTTCCAAAATTTGTTGCTGGTAATAATTTTGTGCAAAAATGTATTGCTGGTATTAAAACCTATTTTTACACTTTCACGGTGTTTTGACTCCAGTTTGGGGATTAACTATTTGCCCATAGCTGGGACCCTTACAAGTGCTACCACCCCAGGTCAGGGTGGATCTGGGAAAACCAGCAATTAAGAGGTGGTTCCATGCTCCTCGAAACCTCCTGATCAGAGGCCTTGCTGTTGGATGCAGTTTATCATCTTACCCAGGATTTAGTTTATCAGCATACTCAGGATGGTGGCATATTTTGTTCATTGATTCTTACATCGGAATGAAAGAAAGTAAGTAGCATTTTTGGCATATTTTACTTTTGGTTCATTCTATCTCAAATCAACTGACAGCCACAGGTGACCTTTAGGTCTGAAGATTACTTTCAAGTATTAAACATACTGTCACCACTTGGTGATGACTTCAGTGTCCACTTTATATAACACTCTTGTTATTTGATCAAGCACTATAGAGAAAATGGTAATCTCAAACAGTATCCACCATCAGTATTAATGCACTGCTCTTCATTAATGAATTGAACCCTCTGGCTGCTGGCATTTTTATACATCTGCATATAATACATTAAAATTTCCCTTTCTCTTCCATGCAACGATAATTTAAGGGTAGGATCTTTGACTGATACCAAATCGGTCAGGTTTTGATTCTGGCTTGAAGCAATCAGATGTCTAGCCACACTGATGAGTTGTGATACAGTGAAACAGGTTTGTATATGGATGACATTATATATATATATATATATATATATAATCTTATGAAATGGATTAAGACCAACAAATATTTTAATATATTTTCCGTTTATACATTATTTTTATACACTAATTACATTATTTGGACTATTGTCCTCATCTTTGTTGCCATATTTATTACAATGTTTTGGCTGTTGTATGCTCTAGCCTTCTTCAGGTGGTTGGAATATTGAACTGAACCCTTTATTTCGCTCACTGGTGCCATGTCTAATGGATGTTAGTTATCAGTTACTTCCTGTTAATTCCCTTCTCCAAGTTCTCCACTGCTTTAACCAAGTATTGAACTCAGACTCTTTATTCACTGTGCGTTGTAATAAATATGGCGACAAAGATGAGGACAATAGTCCAAATAATGTAAATAGTGTACATAATACCTCATTTCAGAAATATAGACACATTATTTTTATAGATGTAATTTAAGTAAATGCTCTGTTTATTTAATTAAACATTATCAATGTTCAAGAAATTTTGTAGAAAATATGTGCTTCTCTGAAAGGAATCGAACCTGTAACCCTTAATGTCATTAAAGATTTATGTTTATAAATAGTAATTCAGAATTTGCTAACCAGACACTTCTTTATGGCTGAACAGTTAACAGCACATCAGATCAAATGATTGTTTCCTTTGGATTTACAGGTTTGATTCCTGTTGGAGAAGTACATTTACTATGAAATTTCTTGAACATTCAGGCTGGTAAATGTAATTAATACTGTTTATTTAAAAAACATAGTATTTACTTAAACAAACTGTATCTATTAATATATATATATATATATATATATATATATAAAATGGATCAAGTCTGACAATTATTTAATAATCCATTTCATAATATATTGTTAATGTTTATGTTAAGGTACATTTTGTGAGCAGATATGATCATTCAGGAAATATTGAAGATATGTTGTTTATAAATAGCAATTCGAACTTTGCTAACCAGACACTTCTTTGTGGCTGGCTGGTTAACAGCACATCAGATCAAATGATTGTTTCCTTTGGGGTTACAGGTTTGATTTCTGTTGGAGAAGCACATATTTACTATGAAATTTCTCGAACATTCACGCCAGTAAGTGTAATTAATACTGTTTATTTAAAAAACAGAGCATTTACTTAAGTAAATTGTATCAATTAAAAAATAACATATAAACAGAAAATACATTAAATAATTGTCAAACTTAATCCATTTCATAATATGTTGTCAATGTTTATGTTAAGGTACATTTCATGAGTAGATATGATTGTTCGGGAAAGTTCGTCGAAGATTTGTTGTTTGTAAGAAGTAATTTGGACTTTGCTAACCAGATGCTTTCTCTGTAGCTGAGTGGTATAGCATGTCAGATCTAGTGATGGTCTTAAATATGATACATGTTTGATTCCTGTCAGAGAACGCATATTTTCTATGAAATTTCTTGAACATTCATGCCAGTAAATGTAATTAATACTGTTTATTTAAGAAACAGAGCATTTGCTTAAGTAAATTGTATCTATTAAAAAATAACATATAAACAGAAAATATATTAAAATATATTTGCCCTTGAGACTCATTCACTCAGACTGATGGATGCTCAATTTTTGGTGTAATGTTTGTGGAAATTACAAATAATCAGAAATTCCTTGTTGTCAAGTCTTGTAGCTCTGAAAGAAGAAGAGTCCAAATATCCATAAATCTTAGACATAATGGAAACCTATACTGAAAGAGTTAACTCACAAAAATCAGTCATTCTAGCCTGGATTCCAAGTTATATTGGTATACTGGGTAATGAAAATAGAAAACTAGCTAAAAATGCCCTCAACATGACAACAAAAAGATGCCCCATAAAGATATCCCATAGAGAGTTCAGAAACAAAATAAAAGAACATATCAAAAGAAAATGGCAAGCAATAACTTCTTTTCTTGCACTTCCCACCTGTGGAATTCACTTCTGTTTATTTGCCTCTCTGATAACTACAATCTTCAAAAATTTAAATGCAACATCAATCACCATCTTCTGGCATCTTGAATCCTGTTCATATTTTATCTTTTCCTCATTCCCCCTACACACAGTATTTTTCTTTCACTTTTACTCTATGTAACCCCCTGTAAATTAGTGGCACTTCCACCTTGGTTGGGGTAAAATGCTTAAAAAACA